CGCTTAACCCAGGAGGACTACTCAAGAAGGGCTTTCAAGAATCACTGGCAGGTAAGTAAGAAGGGTGCATCCCAGGGCAAGAATGCACCAAGAGCAAAGGCGCCAAAGCAGGAAAGACAAAAATATATGAGTACAGTTTTCTTCCCTGTCATGAAAAAAAAAAGAAAGGAGCCGGCCGGTGGCTCAGACGCCTGTAATCCTAGCTCTTGGAGGCGAGCGGGCGGATTGCTCGCGTCAGAGTTCAAAACCAGCCGAGCAAGAGCGAGACCCGTCTCTACTATTAAATAGAAAAAAATAATTGGCAATATATATATAAAAAAAAAATTAGCGAGCATGGTGGGGCATGCTGTATCCCAGCTACTCGGAGGCTAGGCAGAGGATTGCTCGAGCCCAGGAGTTTGAGTTGCTGTGATGCTAGGCTGACGCCATGGCACTCACTCTAGCCTGGTACAACAAAGCGAGACTCTGTCTCAAAAAGAAAAAAAAGAAAAGGGGAGTATGGATGGGCAGACAGATAGCACCAGCAAATGGAAGCCATGGAACATACGGACAGAGTTCAGAAGTTGAAAGTTCTAGGACAGGTAAGTCACTATGCTCTCACCATCTATAAAAGAGGAAACGTCTTAGCTCTCTGAAGAAAACTCTAAGGTCCTTTATTTTTGATGAAGAAGAGATGTTTTGAGAGTTGAGTTTTACAGAAGTGTAATGGCTTGTCTGACCACCCTTGAAGAAGACGATCACATCTGCAAACCAGCTGGCCAGATCAGAGTCAGTGGTCCTGAGAAACTTTGTTTGTGCTTAGTAAGAAGATAACGGGTCTGTGTTGAATAAAACTTACAACCAAAGCTCTTTAGCTCTAACTGAGCTAATTTCAGTGGCAGCATGACCTCCTCGCACACACGCACACACAGCTAGTGTCTATGAAAGAAATTTGCAAATCACACGGAAACATGTGAGCACACTCACTAGTCAAGAAGGCTACAATGGAGTGGCAATAAGCACCAAATGACTAAAGGCTGGCAGAACCTGCACCCTAAATTAAAGGGGACTCATCTTCTACTGGTCCCAGTGGACAGGCTGAACTGTTTTCAATTCAATAGCCAAAATGAAGCTACTAGAGTCTCCATTATTCTATGGCAGCCCCACTCCTCCACCCTTGGGGCTGCTTTCTGTTGCAAAGGCCTGTGCATTCTGAAACTTCAAATCTGGTTTCAAGAGACCTAAAAATATTGCAAAATGCAAGTACCAGAAACTGCTTGCTGAAAGATCTACTACAAGAATCCCAGCAGCTTTCTCAACCCTCAGAGTCCTGCAAAGCCCTTGTCTAAGCTCAGCTTCCTAACTCCCTCTCTCTTTGGATGGGAAGGGGACTTAGGTATTTTGGTAAAGAGCTTCCTGCCCATAGAAGTCAAAACTAACAAGAGATGGGGACTGACTCACCAGAAGATATTGTCCCATACTGTTAATTATGTTATTAAGATTGAATAGCACAAACCGGCTAGCATTAAACAGAAGATAAAAGAACCAGTTCCTGGAGTGGCAGTGCCAAGAGCTGAGAAGATAAATCCAACTGAAAACACATTGGAAAGGGATGGAGGACTCAGACCAGGCCACTTATCCTCAAACTGCCCATTTAGTCCTTGCAAAAAAAAAAAAGCCTTTAAATCTCCATTTTAATGTATAGGGAAAAGAGCCTCAAAGAATTTAAGTAAACTGCACTAGTGAGAGAGTAAGAGCAGAGCCAGGTTTGAACCAGCCTGTTTGACCTTGAAGCCCATTGCCTACACCATACACCTCCACACTGCTGGATTTCATAGACAACCATCTCCAGAACGAGGGGGGAGAGGGCAAGCAGGTCTTTTCATGGTCCCTTGCAGGGCTGTTCTGCCTTTAGCCACAGCTGGTATTTAACAGCTGTGCACCTTCAACCTTGACTTCACACCTGTGTGTAAGAGGTAGGGTTGGAGCAGAGGAGGCAGGCTTCCTCCTCCCCCTCCTCAGTCACAACTGCTGAACCCAGAATGGGAACTCAACGCTGAAGGAATCAAGTTCAAATTTGTGCATGCCTACATTTCCATGGCCACAGGCCCTCTGAGGATCATGAGGGTAAGCTGTCCAGCACCCCCTCCGCTCTTATCCCACCTAATTTCTTAGACCCGGAAGAACAGATGTGAAATCACCATCCATCCACTCAACGCTGTACCCTGAAGGCCATCCTCCAATGTATATATTGAGGAAGTAGAAAGGCAGTGCCCCTTATCCAGGAGAGAATGTACTTAATAGCCCAGAAATGAAACACTTCCTCTCCACAAACACTTAGGATATGAAAGAGCCCCCTCCCCTCTACTTATCACACCAGTATGTGTCCCTGGTGTGTCTGAGATAGGATACTGCCTTCAAGACACATGCTCCCATTTAAAGTGAACAGGTTCTAGAAGGAAACATTTCATGACTCTTACCCATGGCTAAACCAGAAGAGTTGTAAAAGAGAAAGAGTTCATAATGGTGTGTTATGAGAGGTTTCTGATGTCTAAGGTTTCTGAGAGCTAAGGAATTGTTCAAAACGTAGTTGCTGGGAAGAGTCACGGATGTAGCAACCAATCCAAACAATTCCTTCCGTATATTATCCCTAAATAAATGTGGTTCGTGGAAATGTTTATGCCCACTTTTATGCCCTGGCTGAGGGGCAGATGGAGTCCTGGTGAGGAATTTGCAGTCAGGCACTTCTGGAACAACTGAAGTTCCTGGAGGAAAGCCGGACGGTGACTCGATACACTCGAGGCCGGTTTGGGTCCTGGGAAAGGTCCGGGGGTGAATGGGTTGGAAGTGGGGTGTGAATACGGCTCTGGGATTTAACCCAGTGGCCCTTCATTCCGGGGATTGGTTGGCATCGCTGGTGGCCCCTTGCAGGGCCTCCCCACAGCCTCCTGATTTGGAATTTCTAGGTGGAGGTTAGGCATCTGTCTTTTTCAAAGGTGGTGTTCATGGGTTGTCAGAGTGGACAGCCACTGATTTAGTTCTTGGGTCTGAAATGTGAGGCTGCTAAACTTTCTGGTTACTAGTTTAAGATTTGATAAGGTTAGTCT